TTTCAGAAAGTCTAGAGGAGGAACTATTCAAGGTTTATTAATATTTCCGTAAAATCGTACTTTTAATCAAGCGATCACTTAAGCAGATTCATTCCGCCAAGATTCGATCCATAGTCTTTGCGCTCGGTTGAGGTATAATGTCAATGAGATTACTTCAAAACACAAACAAAACGGTGACCGACCTGCAAGGCGCTTGCTCCTATCCATGCCACCGAAGTCAATAATCATCACTTACTTCATCAATTGCCCATCCACACGCCTTTTTATGAAACTTGATTGGCACTTAGCCACCCTTAAAACTGATTCTGTTTAACAGTGCGAATACATTAACTATCTTTAGTTTCACTATTGACCCTCTAGACCTTTGCTTATTTCCCGGCTCTGAGAGTAATGGATAAACTAATCAGAGTTAACGATTAAAGAGGACGGCCAAAGAATGCAACTAAACTGTCCAGAAGAATTGTCGAGTAACGTTTTGATTAAGGAGAAACCAGAAAATTTTCTTTTGTTTTGTTGATACACCTTGTCTGAAACAAAGCTCTCCTTTTCGAAGACGAGGAGGAGGTGGTGAAGGAGGAGGAGTAGACTTGCCCACTACTTGTCTTTTTGAGCGACGAAAATTGGGAGAAGCCGTCCGTTTCCCTCCTGATCGATGGCACAACAAAACGGACCTTCAAAAAGTCTAGAGGAGGAGCTAGGCTTGTTTTTTTTTTTAACATAAAATTCCACAGAATCGTATTTTTCTGTGTTTGTTTTTAGCGATCAATTTACCAGCTTCATTCAAACCTCCTTACATGTTTTATTTGCGCCCCATTGAGGTATGATGTCAATGAGATTACTTCAAAACACAAACAAACCAGTGACCGACAAGGCGCTTGCTTATTACCACGCCACCGAAGTCAGGTCGTCACTGACTTCATCAATTGCCCCTCCACACGCCTTTTTGTGAAACTTGATTGGCGCTTAGTCACCTATAACACTGCTCCGTAAAACTTGATTATAGAACCTGACCTATTCTGTTTTACAGTGCGAATACACCAGTTATTTTAGTTTCAAAATTGACCAACAAAACTTTACGTAATTTCCCGGCTCTGAAAATTTGATAAACTAATGTTAACGGATTGAACAGGACTGACAAATAATGAAGCCAAACCTTTCAGTCGTTGAGAGAATTGTCGTGTAGCGATTTGGTAAAGGAGAAACCGAAAAATTTTCTTGTACTAGACAAACGTGCACCTCGTCTGAAACAAAGCCTCTCTTTTCGAGGAACGGACGTACACTTGCCCTCTTTTTTCGAGCGACGAAAGTGGGCTAGAAACCGTCCGTTTTCCTCCTGAACTACAGAATTTCATGAAGTCTAGAGAAAGAGTAAGGTTTTATTATTAATATTACCGGAAAACCGTATTTTTTTTGTTTTAAGCGATCACTTAAGCAGCTTCATTCAAGATTCGATCTATGTTTTATTTGCGTCCCGTTGAGGTATGATGTCAATGAGATTACTTCAAAATACAAACAAATCCGTGACCAGCCGGCAAGGCGCTTGCTCTCCATGCTACCGAAGTCAACTCGTCTCTTACTTCATCAATTGCCCCTTCACGCGCCCTCTGTGAAACTTGATTGGCGCTTAATCACCTATAACACTGCTCTGAAAACCCTGATCAGTACTTGACTGATTCTGTTCAACAGTGCGAATGAACCAACTGTTTTAGTTTCACAATTAACCCACTACACCTTCCTATAAGTTCCAGGCCTTGAAATTGGACTAACTAGGACACATTGCAGTAAAAGTGCGTGCCACTTAGTGGCGTTGCGTTCTCAGTGGTCAAGAGTAATCAAATATATGTGATTAGGCATTTCTTCCAGAGGTTATACTAAGTCGGTGTATTTTCCTCAGTGCAACCGACTGGCAACTTCTAAGAGTATTCTACCTGCTATTTTGTTGAAAAATCAACACCTTAAACGGTTCAATGCGCTGAGACGTCCCCTTTGATATTCACCAGAATCCGTTTTTCCCGCCCCGAATAAAAAACGTCAAAGGTGTTCAAGACCCACGCTTTGATTCACGCTGTTTAGCAGCGAAACGGAACAAATCTAAAACCCCCTTTTTGTTTTGCCGGAAAAAAGTAGACTTTGAATGTAGCTTTGAAGTGGCGTTGAAGTGGCTTTGATGTGTTTTTTTCTTTTTGCTTTAGCGGCGACAAGCCCGTGGATTTCGCCCTCATGACGTAATTGTTTTAAGCTGCCGGAATTCTCTCCTTGTGATGTCATGAAAAGATAGGAAATTAACCCCTAGATGGTTTCTACTTGTCGCCAGAGCACAACACAAATGTTACTTTTTTGAAATAATCAAATTTGGAATTTTGCAGCGCTTTTTAAATCAAGTTTATATGCGGCTGTCTTTATACTGATTTGGAATGGTTCCACTTCTCGATACTTTGGCGGAGTAATTTTCTCTCTAATCTCCACGTGGTTTTGCTGAAGGAGTTTCTTGCGAAACGAGGATAGCGCGCATCCATGTACTTTTGGGAGTTTTCAAGTTGGCGAAGGGTTGTGTTTCAATGTCCAGTAGATTAGAAAATTCTCGTCATGACCCCGTCTCTGGTTTTAAACGTTTTGGATTATTTGTGCTGACGATTCTCCTGTTACAAGGTACTCGGGCTTAATCGATTTTGCTTGTGTTTCAATTATAATTTTCTGGTAGAACCAAAGGCTTTTTATGGTAAATTTAATCTGAATCCGACGCCATGACTTCTGTTGGAACTGCAAACGTTGTTTCAGGGATAAAATTTTGTAAGAGTTTTAGCTAGTTTATGTTTACCAAATACTATCTGTTAATCTAATTACGCGTTTGTTTGATTGCGAGAAAGTAGACTGTGATCCGGCCACTTCAAACTTGAGCTTGTTAATTAGCGTTTCAACTTTTCACGTCTTTATCATTGATGACTCTTCTTTAATTATTATAAGCTAATATTAACTCTTTGTCGTTAACACCGTTTCATTACTGTTCACTGGGAGAGAGGTTTTTTTTGTAGTGTTTGAGTTATTGGTAGTATATTAGTTGTTTTCAAATATTGAAGATCATCAGTTCGTTATGAGTTTCTTTTTATTTTGGCAAGACAAATTTAGAAGGGCGCCTTCTTAAAACAAAGTGTTTCTTCTTAGTGAGGAATTAAAGGTTTGGGTTTTTTTACTTATATAAATATTTTTCCGTTAACAGAAGTCAAGAGAGCAACGAGTGTTCCGGAGCACGCCCTCGGCGCAGGTGAGTGTAAATAATTAACTCTTTCGGAGCTTCTGAACAGGAAATCCCTTTAAATATATAACACGACATGTCAAGATTCTGTTTGGAAGTACTCTTTATCTTAGCCACTGCCGTGCTAAATCAATATAACCAGTTTTGGTGTTTTTGCTCTGTTAAGAAATATGATTGTATAAACACTGCTTTGTTTACTCAAACACTACCTGCTGACTCCAGTTAGTTCTACCAGGTTCCCATTCATCGGTTGAAGATTTGCTTTTATTTATTTTTTCCTTGTAATAAGAATTTACTGTTGTCCTGTATGGAAAAGATCCTTAATATTTGCCGTGAACGTTTTAATAACTTGACAGTAGATTATTAGCTGTCGAAACGAATCTAATTACGTAGTATTTCTGGTTTGAAAGTGTTCATTTTCAACGATCTGTTACCTCTGGCGCTTGTTACAAGTAGTAAGCTAGTCTTTTCGTTCAATAACAAACACCTGTGTAGAAACGGAAGAGTAGACTTAATTGATATTGTTTTCTGCAAACAATAATTGCGAGATTTTTCTGTGGTTGGAGATCGTTGAGTGTAAGAAAGCTTTACTTCAACCGTTGATTAAAGTAATTATATATAAATGTTGCGTGAAGAGTTGCTCATTCGACCTTAACTTCAGAGTATCGAAATCACAGGTTTTCGATTTTACTTCCGTGATAACGATATTTGTTTGTTTAATTCCCCTTGTGGTTTGATTCAATTGTCCTGCTGTTAATAATAATTTGCTCGAGTGTAGCTGAGTGAACCTGAACTAATGGGGAAAAACACTAGGGAATTGTATAAATAATTCAAAAGGGAAGCTTTAATAACATTAGACCAAACAAATGATTGACTCCGAGTCAACCGTATGTCAAGCCCTTCTTGAAAGTTTAGGCCGGCTCTGAATAGAGAATAAAAAATATGTAATAATCTTTATCAACCTCGCCCTGTTCAGTTGTTGGTCAATCAAAGAAATTATTTGACCAAGTACTTTTCACCAAGAAAACCCCCGATGGGCACTTTTGGGAGTAAAGAAACATCTGCGTGTCTTAAAATTAATCTCGTTTGCAAACATGATTCATTTCCTTAAAAGGACGGATCGGGAAACACTAGCTCATGAAAGGGGGCATAAATTAGAGACAAGAGGAGGGGAAAGGCGCCATTTTTGGCATTCTTAAGTGGCACGTAACGGGCCAAGTCTGCTTGGTGTAAGACATTGCAGGTTACACCCCAAGCGTCTGAGATCTAAAAATGAAAAACGCGCGTTTTTCAGAGTTTCTTTCTATTTGTTGCAGGGGCAGACTTTGCGACAGAACACCACATGCTTCATCTACGTTGTAGAGGCGGGGGAAAAGGGTCGAAAAGAGTGATGGAATTCGTGTCCCCTGTTCATGTCCCCACTGATTGTCTAAACGTTTTTGGCCACGCGAAAAAAAGAAATACATTTGACACGAAAGAAAAAATTGATTTTTTTCCATTTCTTTCAGGTTCTCCGCAAGTAATTTTCAACCAATCAGCTTCCTTTTCGGTACCTCATAATGGCCAAGAAATCTCCAGAAGTCACTCGGACAGTAATCTGGAAAGGCAAGAGACTAAGCATTCTTTTACTGATGGCGATTTTGGGGAAACGAACTCATCGACGGTAGTTAAAGGAAATGAACAAGTTTTGGAATCACAAAGGCCCCCTTCGTCTCAATTCTCTTCGCTTGATATCTCTTCTTGGGACAATGAAAGACATTCTTCTAAAATCGACACAGATGTATTAAATCTCTCGCAGCCTCGAAATTCTACAACAAGTCTTCAAAGTAACTCATTGATTGCTATCACAAAAGTTAGGAACGCTGAAGATACTTCCACGCCTTCAAAATCGAAGAGACGTTCAAAGAACAAACTACAAAGTGAAGTGAAACTTTTGTCTGAGAAGTCAAGTTCACTTTCAAATGATCATGACTTTAAAAGTAAGGATGCTAACGACGTGACAAAAACATTCAATAAATCTCGTAAAAAGAAGCGAAGAAAATATATTTCGTGGATAAACTCTGCCAAACATCACCGGCGCAAAAGGAGCCATCGCAGAATTTCTGGACGGAAGTTGGTGGATTTTAATAAAGTAAAAACAAAGGAAAGCGAAAGAATCGGGAATAAAAGGTCTGTATATCCTTTAGGAATTTATCCACAATTTCGTGGCGCTGGTAATGAACGAGTTTTGTTAAGATTTAAACGTAAAGCTCTTCTTGAAGATGGGCAAGAAGAACTGCCGCGCAACCGTAAAAAACGCAAAAGGAAGAGGCGAGAGAAAGCCTCGAAAAGGCAAGTTAAACGGCGAAGCCTTCCGAGGCAAAACGTACCCAATGTTGAGATTAGTGGACTTAAAAAAGGTTACTCGCAAAGTTTTCTGTGGAGGAAATCAGCTTTTGGAAGAGATATCAATGGTTTTGGAGCAACTACTGCCGTAAATCCTCAAGTGAAGTACGATCAGCAAATAACTCCCGGGCAATCTTTGTTTGTAGTTCCGAATTCATACAAAGTTATTTTAAGGCCACACCAATATGATCAGAGGAAAAGAATACCCTCCATGAATTTCGCACAAAGTAACGCCCTAGTGGCGCAAAATGGGCAAGTTCCGGTAGCAAAAATTCCCTACGGCACCAAAAATTCAGCGACGAAATCAGTCAGGCCTGGGAAGTTTCAAAGTATAAGCAGTGTTAAGCAGCCACAGTTTGAACAGCTGGCGAAATACCATTACGCAACCAGGCAGCCTCAACGCCCATTAAACAACAATGTTGTCAGCAGGAAACAGGTTACACAGCGCCCGTTTTATGTTTTTGCGCCTCATTTTAGCAGCTCACAAATAGCTTTGCCGGATAGAAATCGGCAAATCGAGCGCCTTACGCAACCTTGGCCTGTTAAGCCACAGTTTTATGGCTCTCAACAAGGAACGAGGATGCCGGAGATTAAAAGTCACGTGCCTCAAGCGAATGAATTGTTAAAGGGATCACCTGGACCACAAGGACTAATTATGTACTTAAATTTTGAAGATGTTGAACAGGGAAAGTCGCCGTTTGCTTCTTTTTATGGAAACCTTGCAGATGCAGGAAAGCGAACCGAAATTTCGAGATCGTTTGGATCATGTGGAAAAGTTGCGAGAATAAACAATGGAAGCGAAATTCTCTTGAACGGAAGACAGATCAAGGTAATGCACTTTATTTTTTTCTTTGAATGATTTAATCTCCTCTTTCCTTGGTTTTTAGCCACAAAGCCCCCATTTGAAGCAGAAACCTCTTTTAGGCAAATTGCAACTGAGCTGTCTGAAAGAAGTGAAATGGTGATTTTCGATTCAGGAATGTTCTCTTACCGCTTTACAAACTAAAGGCTTAAAATTTTCGGGGAGGGATACAGGTCATTTCGTTTAAGGTACGGTAAATGGTCCAACTTGTTTTGCAGCATTGTCGCAAAATGATTTGAGAAGCGATGTTGCGCGCACCCACGTTCAAACCTGTCTTCCAAAAAATCTCTTTTGCGGATTGCGAAAAGTTCTTTAAGAAAGCAGAGAGCAGTTCAGTCCTTTTTGCAGCAAACTTTGCACATGTTTGCGTTTAACCAGCCTAAGGCAAACTTGTTTTGCAGCAATTGTCGGCGTAACTCCCGTGTATGGTCGGACTCTCGTGTAATTTTATCTAATCAGAATTCAGTATTCACGCAACTTGCAACAACCCGATATTTGCTAGACAGGGTTGAACGTGAGTGGTAAAATCCTCAACGTGGCTTTTCAACTAAAATCCCTGCCCTCCTCACATGGGATACATCTTCGAGCTTTAGCGAAGGGACATAAAGAGAGTTAACGAATATAATTAGGAGACCGAAAGCTGGTTGTAAACGAAATCCCGTCTGTCCAAATATCAGTTTATACCGTTTTACAGTCGTAGAAAGAACAATTTTTTTTGTATAAAAGCCCTGTCGATATATGGGGGTCATTTTCCATACATTTTACTCCGGGAGTCAAGTCCGGGATCGCCGGAGGGCCAAGCTGACCCGCTGGCCTCTTGAACACCCTGACTGCCGCAGTAGGAGACATAAAAACTGTACCTTCACTTTTAAAATATTTTCGTGCTCGTTAAATTGACATTTCCCCAAGTGAGACGCAAATGTTAACGTTGAGTTAGGGGAGGTGTAGGTGGGCTGTTTTCCAGAAACCTTAATATTGATCCGACATTTAAACAAAGTAGGATATTTTTGGGTGTTAAGTAAATAATGGTCAGTTAAATTCATTGGCTGCCAAATTTCCCGGGGGTGGACTCCGCATATCAAAGGGGTGGGGATGCTCGTCGTCTCGCTTAGGGGTGTAAATTTCGGATTTTGGTCTTACTTAGGGTGTTCTGGGCAAAACGCCATCATATTTAGCCGTGACGGTCTCGTTTAGGGTTGCACGTGAAAAGATATAAAAATATATATATTGTCTGTGTTTCAACATGGTCTCTTTTAGGGGTCAAAAAAGCTTGGGCCACGCCCAGATTGGTCTCCTTAAGGGGTTTAATTCAAAATTTCCGACGAGCATCGCCACCCCTTTCATATGCGGAGTCCCCCCCGGGCCAAATTCGAAGTGCAGAAATTTTTCCCTACCTTGTATGCTTTTCTCTGTTTTAAACTTCCCACCATGAGTGAAACAGGCAATATCTCTCCCGAAAACGGAGCGATTGGAAAGTATGGTTTAGTGTTGTGTTTTTATACTTCTCCTTACTCTTCAGGTAAAACCACGCCAGGCCATAAGCATTGCAGCGTGGATCAAGCTTGATACCAACAAAGGACTTCACTCAATATTCGACACAGTTGGTGGCCATTCTCTCCATCAAAAGGGACAGTATCATTTTGAAATACAAGATGGTAGTGTTCGGTGGTTCCATAGAAACGAATCAGACAACACGATCTTCAGTGTTGAGACAGGTAGGCTTAGTGGGAAGGAACTTGTTTGAAAAAGGAATATTAGGCTGGTAGAGTGTTATAATGAAGTGCTTTGATAGTGTTTCACAGACCAAGACGTCTAGACGCCTTTTCTGCCACGTCTTAAAATAGAATTTCTTGAAACGAAGAGAGAGGTCTTTATCGTTGTGATTGTCGTTTTGTACCTCGACTCTACTTGGTGTCGAAACAAAGGTGTTCAACACAACACAAGTATGTTACATCCATCGCCCTCCTTACTCGTTAACGTACAGATGTATGTCCGTTAAGACTTGATAAATACCGTTTTCGCAGGGTCGCAAATCAGGCGAAAGTCTTCTCACATTTTACGTGTCGCTCGGGTTTGACTGGACAAATTCAAAACGGATTTGAGCTTCTCTGTTATCTCCAGAAATTCAAATCCTTAGCTTGTTAGGCTAAAAACGTTTTCGGCTTTCGATAAGGGGATAAGGCGAGATTATCTCATTTTCTCTTGTTTAAAACAAACGTGAAACCACTGTAAATATTTAACAAGGTCCCTTCTTTGATAGGCTAACCTGACGACTGGTATTTGATCATTGAGGAGTCGCTTTCAGTTTTTCTTAATTTTTCTTTCCTGCAGATCCAATAATCCCAGCAAAAGTATGGAATCATGTGGCTGGAACGTACGATGCACTTACTGGCATAGCTAAAGTTTTCGTAAACGGTCGACTGAAGGCAGAGACTGCTGGGAAGGGTGTTCTGTCTCAGGATTGGGATGCTCATGCGGGAATAGGGAAGCACAAAGGCTCTAGATTTCTCCAGGGGGATGTGGACGAGTTCAGGATTTATAATAAGGCTTTGACGCAAGAGGAAATTCAGAATCTTACAAAGATATGCAGTTTTGAAAGAGGTGAGTGATTTTTCAGTTTTCTTGTCACCGGGTGCCCATCCAAATATATTCCTAGATAAAATGTAACCATTTTTTTCAGTTTTCTTGTAACGCTGAATCAGAACGTGGCCTGTGGAAAATTGTACTGAACGACCATATTTTACAAAATAAGACAACAACAACTAAAAAATAGATTACTTCTCTAATAACACCTCTGAATGCAGTCCTCCCTTTTATGTAAACCCTTCTTGGACACATTACTTTTACAAAAATGATTATGAGATCAGTATCTCTGCATTGTCACGCAGCAATTTACAGATCGACGAGCTTCTGCCTCACTACTTATGGAAATTTCTCATTGTAATTTTCTGGAAAGCATCTTACTCAGTAAAATGTTAGTTCGGATACCACGTTGCTGTTCTTCTCCAGTTTAGTCTGTTTAATCATCTCCTTCACTATGCTTTTAAAATAATCTTGATACTAATGATGATGGTGTTGATGATAATAAATAAGGCCATGATCTTCATCTCTCCTCCTTTCTTGCTCCGTATTTTATCTGTGTATTTTTTCCTGTGCCTGTTCTCCTTTTTCCTCCTACTTATCTTGACTTTTTTCTTCTTTTAAGCATGTGGCGGGTTCTTCTATAGTCCGACAGGGGTGATCGAGTCACCAGAATGGCCTCACCACTACAAAGGCAAATCCCTTTGCACGTGGCATGTTGTTGTTGATTTCAGCGAGAAAATTGCGCTTCGTTTCAACACCTTCGCTTTGGAGGAAGATAACACCTGTAGTAAGGCTAAACTAGTTGTCAGAGACGGGAACAGTGAAAATGCAAACGTGCTTGGAGTTTACTGTGGTAATATGCGTCCTCCGGAGCTGACTTCAACTGGAAATCACTTGTGGCTTCAGTTTACCAGTACGGAAGGAGCGGAAGGAAAAGGCTTTCTTCTTCATTACGACAGAGGTAATAAAAAACTACTGAACTCTTTACAGTAAATTATTAACGATAACACCGTGATAAAAAAAATAGGGTGGTTGAAAATGAGGTTATATGGACTTAGGAAGGTGCCGGCTAAAGGCTGTCAATTTTGCGCTCGGTCTAAACCCTCGATGGGGCTGAGGGGCAGGTTGTTGTTGGAGGGGGCTTATAGAGGATAAACGGTGTATTTATATTCAGCTGCTCAGCATCTTGCGAATATGATACGAACTTACAGGCTGACCGGCTACCGTGATAACTTAGTCGTTCACTTCCCAATCAAAACACATTTATTTTTAAGGTTTAATTCCATCTTTGTAACTGGTTAATCCATCACTTTGCTTTCAAATGTGCTAAATATCTTTTATCTTTTCTCAGCATCATTTCGCCAAACGAAAAAGACCGAGAGACCACCAACACTCTTTGATGGCACACAACGATGCGCGGTTACAAAGCCCGAATATAACGTGACCCTGGTAGGAGGTATCAAATCCGGGATTTTTTCTGAGGCCAGGCACGTGCACGACCTAGACCTGTGCACAAGGCACTGTTGTTTAAGAGAATTCTGTGACCTTGCCTTCATGATCCGGGATACTTGCTATCTGGTCAAATGCGCCAATCAGTTGCTTTGTAAGACCAAGAAGGCGAGGCCGTCAAGTATGAATCCCAGGATTAGTTTTGTATCTCATTTGTCAGCGGTGACTCCAGAACCTGGTGAGTAGAGTCGTTGAGTACAATGAGGGACAAAAGTTGTTAAGACACTTCCATGTAATGAACCTTTATTGCAAAGTGGACATACCTATCCCCTCCCCCTCTGTACCCTTACCGCCTTCCCCGTAAACCAATGTTGTATTTTAAACACTCAAGTCTTTCTTCAACTAAAAACAAAATTGATTCGGGGGTGGGGGGCTTAAGGCGTTTAAACAGAATTGTATGATTTGAAATTGTTGGTTGAAGCGCGCATTTAGACAAGTGTGTCAACTACTTTTGTCTCTGGTTGCTAAAAGTGATGTTGCTGCCATTAACATGCACACTATGTCATTTGGTGATAGGAACAATTTACTGGTACACAATGGTGTAAGTATTTTAACACGATTGTGTTGATATTTGCGTTTATATACGATGCACCACACTCGCTTCATTCTCCAGCCTTGAATATAACATTCTCTAGTATCGATAGTTGCGTCTTGAATTAGCTGTTCTATCAGAGACAATAATTATTTGCGCAGTCATTAAATGTTGAGGGAATAAGTTGGAGATTTTTGTTTTCTTGTTGTTGTTTTCCCATGGTATACAAACGCAATTACAGTCAACTCTTCCCAAGACGGACACCTTTGGGACCACCACTAAGTGTCCGTCTTAGAGAGATGTCCATCTTATAAAGAGTCAAATAAGGGGAATAAGCAAAGGCAGGGACCAACTCTAGGTGTCCGTTTTACAGAGGTGTCCGTCTTATAGAGGTTTCCGTTAAGAGAGAGTCGACTGTATTCTATAGGTCGATAATTTATTAACTGCTTGGGTGATTAATTCTTCCTCTTTCCCTTTCAAAAGGGCTTTCTGTAGACGGAAGCGCTTACAGTAAAGCTGCTGCCCAAAGCACAACCACGCCAACAACGCTAGAGCTTTCGGCAGACGGAAGTGCATACAGTAAAACACGAACTCAAGGTTCAGGGACATCTTCGACTCCAGAGGTTTCCGCCTATGGGAGCGCCTACAGCAAAGCATCAGGAGCACAAAGTGCAGCAGGATCTACCATTTTTGACCTCTCCGCCAGCGGAAGCGCCTACAGTAAGCCAATTGCAGCAAATGATAATACTTTAACAGCCTCTCCACCCAGTGCTGAACCAGATTGCCACCACACGGCGGTGAGCTACAACGTCACACTGGTTGCGGGTATAAACGCGGGAAAATTCAGTACTTACGGCAGCGCGCGCAACATGGACGAGTGCATACGTCATTGTTGTCACGACGACACGTGTGACGTGTCTTTCATGATTCAGGGAAATTGCTACGCAGTGGAGTGCGCTGATACCGAAGGCTGCCAGATCAAGAGAGCAAAACCTTCCTCTTACCACCCCACAGTGGCGTACGTATACCGCGGAGGTGGAAGACCGATTGGTGGTAAGTAACGATTTGCAACAGTCCTAAATACAGCTTGAATAAAATGGCGTGCATATTATTAATTATTGCGCATTATCATATTTAAGAGAATTGTGCTATAAAACTTGGGATTCCTCTGGATATTTTGGTATTTAGGTTCAAATGTTGTTTTGCTAGCTGATTTCTTTAAAATCACTCCTTTTATGTAGATCTTTTACTGGGAATCGTTTATGAAAGCTTCTGTCCTCGTTAGGACTGTAAAAACTAACCTCCCATTTCGAGTCACATGTAAAAATTGTCGCGTGATTTTTTGTTCAGTTGCTAGCCGAGAACTAGTTGATTACCAGTCGATTACTATTCCCCTCCTGCTTATTCATTTTTATGCAGACCCCTTGCCAGGCGCCGAAAAGCCCAGCCTTGACGCTTGCTCCAAGCTGACTGTCAGCAACACCATACATAATGTGACGCTACGAGGGGGTATTAAGGCGGGAAATTTCACCGATAAGGGCGTGGTCAAGAACATGGAGGAATGTTCCGCTTTTTGCTGCGCAGATGAGCAATGTAATGTGGCGTTCCTCATCCGAGACAATTGCTTCCTTGTGGCATGTAACGACTATGATTCATGTAAGATGAAGCCAGCCTTGTCGGAGTATTATCGCCCGCGAATGGCATTTGTAAATTGGAGTCCTCCTGATGACGAAATCCCAGGTACGTTTTTCCAAGGATCTGTCTTGCCTGTCTGTACCCCGAAGCGACACAGTTTCCGCTGTCATAAGGCGTATAGGGAAAAAAAGGAGAACACTGTGTCCTCTCAGTCACGCTATTTGCTGTCTTTTTGAAAAACTAAAACATTTTGTTTCGCATCATTTGATTTCAAAAGAAAATGGTCCAGTTTTGTTATTTAAGACTATTTTTTGCTTTGAAAATGTTTCCTGTCGTCTGTTGCAACGGATGGCAAGGATGGACATGGATGGAAACCCAACTTTTTCAGACTTTTTTTTGCTATTCCCGCAAAACACGCCCAAAAAATTATGATGGTTAGTGTTCCCTGGTGAAATTTGTGTGATAACTACTTCATAGCTCTACAGGAGCATTGTGTGCATGGGTAATGGCACTTAAAGTACTGACTTGACCTAAAGCAGCAATATCCTCACGTGACATAGCACCTTTAAGGCGCAATCAATGTCCATATCCACTTAACAACAATTTTACCCGTCAACAGCATAGGCCTTCTCATAGAACTAAATGTGATTTTCCTTCTCTGATTTACAGGGCCGTACAAATTAGTTTACGAAGCATGGCCACGCAATTCACGCAGTTAACGCAACAAAGTTTTTTGATTAAGAATCACGCACAGATCCAATCACCATGCAAATGACGTGATACAAAACTGAAAAGACCACAAACAATACCCACACCACGACTCAAAAGCGGAGCCGGACCAGCGGTGGTTTCTCCAACACTAAGTAACATCCCTCTTACGGCAAACGGCAAACGTCATTTTTGCCACGTGACCAAGTTTTTCCTTTCTTTTTTGTTTACTGTTTATAACGTCCACAGAAAAATCAGTAGTTTCACGCCAGTTTCAGCTATATGTAAGGATTAGTTTGCGCAGTGTTTATCTGCTCATTTCCTTTTTTGTGAAACAGTCAAATTGAATGCGGTGTTTGCCGTAAACGTGATTTTAAATCTTATTGCTACAATTTACCAATGGTTTGTCCCGTTATTTCATTTAGCAAACCGCTGGTACGCGTCTCTCGGCTGCTGGAAAGATACCGAATCATCTTCTGTTTCTTCATTGGAGGGTTCGGATTCTCTTTTGCAAGGATCTTACCTCAAACGAGATAAACCCATCGATACGTGCGCTCAAGTGGCTCGGAAACATGACTACAAAGGTATAAACCACTACATAACGCCATTCAAATAAGGGTAATCAACATGTTAATATATCAACGGCTTTAGTGCGTTTCAACCGTAGCTTACAGGGGGTAAATCTTGCGGGTCTGAATTATCTGAGGAACGATGCCGGCGTGCGTTTTGAACCTGGAAGGTGCAATCATGCCGGAATATTTAACGATGAGAAGACATTAAAGGTACATAGGATAGCTCCTGGCTCTCTAGTTTGGGGTTTTGTCTTGGAGCTTATCACTCTTTTCAGTGAATTAAAATCAAACATTAACAGCCGAATCAGGAATTATCGGCCTAACAGGAGGAATTTGAGTATGGAGAAGGAACTGATAATGAACGTTTTTGTAATTTAATGATTAGATAGTTAGCTAGCTTACAAAATATTGCCTCGTATCATAGCTACAGAAGAAAAAGTTCAGTACTCTTTGATAATGCGTTCGCGATATTAGTTTCAAAGTATTGTGTTAAGATAAAAATCATGGTTGAACAATAAATAAAAAGCTGGGCAACAGTTTCTTAACAACGAGCCCTGCATCAAATGCTGAAGCTAGAACTATCGGGTCTGGTACAAGCAAGGGGCTGTTGAGATGGTGATCGCGTATAAAAAGACTTGGCATCAAGAAACAATTTACTTTTTCTATTTGCACGTGTGTTTTTGAGGAAGGGGGAAGTGTAATGATTCCCGTCTCTTAGGAAATAATATTTAAATTCACTCTTCAAACTGGTATTTCATATTCACGATGGTTTCTAACATTAGTACGCAACACTATTTTCGAATTTTTAAAGCTAATTTCTTTTGAGGTTATTTTTAAATTTCTTTTATCAAAAAAATGCAAACAATGATATCAGCAAAGGCTCTCCTTTTTGTTTCCAGTTTTTGCGATACAGAATGGCGGAGCGTGCCTGGGTGATCCGACGGCGGAACGTTTGTTTAACCAGTACGGTGAATCTTCAGCCTGTAAGCAGGGGAAAGGAGGACCGTTCGTCAACGATGTCTACCGCCTCACAGATTCTGGTGCGTGTCATATTGATCATTAAGAATGAGTTCACTTTGTCTCTCTGTAACTTAAAATGAGCAGTCAGTACCAGTGATGTGATGCTGATTCTACCCCTGCTTTGAAGCCAGCGTCCCATCCACGAGTATTTTGGGTCCCCGCCAACGATGAGTCTCTCATCCAATATTTAGCCTGCGCGAAATCTCCCCATTTATTTCTAGCGACGAGCGAAGCGAGCCACGAAGAATGGACGAGAAAACGTGGTGACCGCGCGTGGCGCCTAACCAGTGGTCCTTGCTCTCGAGTCTTCTTTCGAATGCCAGTCGCGGGTGACTTTTTGAGATACACCCCAAATAGAGAGCTTGTTCACCGGCTACCCAACTTGAGAACTTGCATGGGTAACGGCAAACTGTTACTGGGTTTGACCCTTTGATGGTCTAAAGTTTTCGACCAAGGGTACAACTCTCTTAAGTTTTCTATAGTACATAAACAAGCTCCGTCCGTTTTGGGTCACTTTGTTCCCGGCTTATACTTAAATAAATAAATAGATAAATGCTCATATATCGTCTCCCCTTTTCCGGGGTAATGAACCAATAATTCAAACATGATATGGTTAAGAATCCCAACTGGTAGGAGGCGAACCAGTTGGCTATTTACAAGCGTGGCCGAGGATTTGAACTCAGGACTACCGAGAACCAATCCGGGGCCTCCAGATTACAACTCCAGCGCTCTAACCGTTCCGTCACGCTGCCACCAAGTCGCGGATCATTATAAGTTTCTGGGAAACTGCCCACCTACCCCTCCCCTAAGTCAACATTTTGCCCTAAGTGAAAGGAAAGTGTTAAAGCTGGCGTGATCTTACCTAACGTCCCAGTTTGTTTTTCGTCAGGCTCCTACGTTTCTCTTGGTTGTTGGAATGACTCCGGGAGTCATGCTCTTACGCTTCTGGAACACTCTGATCCCCGATTGGATGACTTTTATCAGACTCGAATTGATCCGCTACAAAAGTGCGGACGAGTGGCGCGCAAACGAGGCTACACCGTATTTGCCGTTCAGCGTGGAGGGATGTGCTTTAGTGGACCACTTGCGGAAATTCATTATCGGAAATTTGGAATGTCAAGAAGATGCCATGATGGATTGGGAGGTTCCTATGCTAACAGTGTATACAGGCTGATAGGTAAAAGGCGTTGATTGTACACTTGTGTTAAAGATGTTCAAACTGTTGAACCAATCAGTTCATCCTTAAAGTAATGATTCACATCGACGTTTATAGGGGGTGTTTAGATGACACCGGGGCGACTTTTGCGCCGGTGCAAGTTCACTCCGGCTCCCTCTCGTGGCTCTGTATTTGTTCACATGATACCACCACAAAATGTTAATATGCCGGTTCGAGTCACACTGGGGTGAGTTCACCCCGGTTGTTGTACCAGAGCGAGAATTTCACTCCGATACGAAATTTCGCAACGGTGTCATGTAAACGCGAAACGACCACTCTTTTTGGTGTAATGGCGTATGCGTAATTGACTCGCACGTGTATTTGATCAACATTAAGAGAATTTTCATGTAAACGCGATATGAAATGACCCAGTCATCATGTAAACCCGATACGAAATCAAGAAGTCATTCCGGTATAAAACTCGCGCCAACGCGAGTTTTCTCATGTAAACACCTCCTTTCTTTGTCCTAGGGACTTTAAGATCCAACGACGCGACGGCAAGGAGAACGTCTAAAAAACAGCAGGTTTTACTGCAAAACAACAACTTCGAACGTGCATCACCCTTTTTTGTACATTTCTTTGCCGTTTTTGCACGACTACGACGTGAAAATATCTAATTTCTCGTTAATGCAGGACGCAACAAGCAACGACCAAATTTATTTCCCATCCTGAACTTGGATAGAAAGAACGCAAATTCACTTTTTAAGCAACGTTCTCGTTGCCGTCGCGTCGTGAGATCTTAAAGTCCCTGTTTTTGCGACAAGAACGTATGAAGGGCAAAATATTTTTCCGCTCACTATCTCCCTTTTTTGCTGTATATATTGAAAGTTTTTCTTTTGGACAAGGAGGAGATATCATTATTTAGTATATACCAAAACAGTGGATATGATAGTGTTTTAGTTTTTTTTCATCCGTGATTCGTTGGCACGGGACTTTAAACCGCCGGCTCTGGAGGATAGTTTCGGTGTGAGCGGATTCACTGGTTTCGTGTGGACGGGAGGCCGAGTCGTCAGGGGCGTAGCCAGCTTTTCGACTAGTTGTAGACCTGCACGGTCCTCACCAACACTTTGACCTCCTATGCTTTTTAGCTCACCCTCCAAAAGCATAATTTATACCAAGAGGTATAGTGATCAAACCAAAAATTTGTAGGCCAGGGCCTACAGGTCCTACAGGGCCTACAGGCTGGCTACGTCCCTGCTCGCGTAAAAAAGTATGTGGTTTTAAAAATATCTGGATTCGTGCGGACGTAGGCTTAGGAAGCTCTCGTCAATTTCAGTAACCTGTTGAGGAAGTGTCCAAGAAAACGTTTCACGCTTCCTTTGGTAAAATAAGTAAACAATAAAAACACAGTAAAAAGATCACGTCCGCTCCCGCAGATTTACACGGCTTAAAAACAGGTAGAAATGCAAGGGTGTCTATTTTTTTTTTTTTTCAGATAACTTGGAAACTACGCCTTCGCTTCCTACCACGGGGATTTCAACATCCAGCATTGCTTTTACAGAGATTTCATCCAGTACTAGCTCCAACGATTTTACGCCCACCACGGGATATAGTTCACAGGCCACTTCCGCTTCACCAACGACGCGCATTCAAGAAAACTATCTCACACTACAAGATGGTGTACCACTCAGAAATACCTATACATCCGGCGACATTCTGTACAACGTAACACTTAAGTTTGGTATCAAGGCAGGAAAGTTTAGCGACAAAGGGAAAGTTGGAAATATGTCTGACTGCATAAAAGCCTGCGGGAAAATGGAAACCTGTAGTCTAGCGTTTATGCTCGGAAAGCAGTGCTTCGCTGTGTCGTGTTATGACGATGCGCTGTGTCTAACAAAGCCAGCGTATTCACCGTTTTACAAACCGCAAATTGCTTTCGTAAAACACACAAAGGAAATCTTCATTGGTAAGTAGACCACCAAACTACGTTATGCATGATCCCATTACCAAGGGCATTCTTGACTTTAAAGACATAGATGGCCTCAGTTGTTGTTGTAGCACAGCAGCACTTTCGTTTCAAAATTTCGGTGACATGAGATTTAAGAGCATTCTATATCATTCGTAGCAAACATTTTACTTTGTGCGTCAAACTTAGCGTAACGGGCCTGTAGCATACACTTTAACGTTACATTTAAAATTACATTAGCTCATCATGTTTTGTTTGTCGTGATGTGGCCACGCTTAAACATAACCGACAGCGACAATTTCTTACGGTACTCTACGTTGCCGGTTTTCCTGCCTAGGTGTCTTGTTGTCCTAAGTCAGGACTTTCTTGCTAAAGACTTTCAAGCTTGTAAGGTAGTGTGTTTTCGTGAGTAAAAAAGAATTACAAACAAAACAAAAAGGAAGCCCTACAAATCTCTGCGGTATGGCCTGTACCTTACGCATGCGCACAGCCATATCACCCGGGTAGTGACAGCCATGACAACTGTTTCGTCCTCATTTGGACTCATCAGCATGGTACAGCTACAGGCGAAGGGTTACACTTGCGATCTCTGACTCTGCGCCAGCTCCACCGTATACATGTGGTAGCTGTTGGCTGGGAACTGCCAAAACAGCTCTCGAAATGCGTATGAAACCTGGATCAGCTTTCTAGCCGATTGGTGTGCCACAAACCTGTAAACGTGTGACCTGTTTCCTTGCTGCTTATTTATTTTCAGCCAATGCTTCAAAGGGGGCACTGTCAGATTTCAGCCAGTGTCGCACGAGTATAGTTCATAATGACGTCACTTTGGTGGGAGGAATAAACGCTGGAAAATTTACCGATCTCGGAGACGCGGAAAACATGACCATATGCAGTCAGCGGTGCTGTTTCAAGGACGCATGCGATGTTGCTTTTATGCTGGAAGGCGAATGTTATGGAGTCAAATGTATAAATGAATCGTTGTGTGAAACGCGCCCAGCCAGAAATCCCGCGAGATATAACCCCAAAATTGTTTATGTCTACCATGACAAGAAGAAAGACGAAGGTAAGCGCGCAGGTATCGTTTTGTTACTATAGTTGGCCTTTTGAGCCATTGAAGATAGAAGATTCTTTGAAACATAATGGGGAATCATCAAACGTAGAATTTAAAGAATGCAATCTACTGCAAGAAAGTTTAGCTTACGTATTAAGTTTAAGCCAAAATTTGTGTCAACATCTCTTTCGTTGTCGTGCAAACATCACAAGTTTGTACCTACTCGCACCAAACTGTTTAATGGACTCCCCCTCTCCCTACTGAAGGAACGGATCAGTATGAATTTGACCTTTCCTTACCTTACCTTATACAGAGTAGTGAAAACCGAATCTTTGAATTTCAATCCCCCGTCGCCGGCGCAACATACAGGTTCTTTAGGAACTGCTCCTTCATGCCTTTAAGAGAACCTTTTATTTTGCTGTGTTTTTGCTTGGTATACTGACACGACATTTTAAAAACCAACAGCGCCAAACCAACCGAAACTGAAGGCTCTCATTAAAATGATCGACCGCTTACTGAATTCACTGACCGAAAAGCCACAAAAACAAAGTACGACAGACTCCACACTGAAGAATAAGAACAAAGACGTTAATACGGCTGATGTGTCCGTGCACTCTGACGAGGGTAGTAACCTTAAAAATGACTTGGGACTTGAGACAAAACTGCAGGTCAACGATAAACAGCCACTCAGTAGAAATATAGACGAAAATTTCTCGACTGACATTTTTACTCCAACAACGCCACTTATGCGCTATGAAAAGTTGGTAGGAAAAATGTTGGATGGCCGAATGAATGTTTACGCTCTTCCTTTTCTCTTCAATGGAGATCAGGGCGAGGGACGGCGATACCAGTCGTATATGACGCCATTGCCATCTAAAAGCTTGAACAATCTCCAAGGTTTTTATGTTCCAACTCCTCAAAACTTAAACCTGCCCTTTAAACAACACGAAATTGATCATAGAAGGTTCCCTGGTAGTCGCTTGCCGATAAGGGATTCCCAGCGTTTGAGTGGTTTTTGGCCCACTGCGACACGAGTTAACACAAATACAGTCGCGCGAGAAAATGACTTTATGCGTGACAGGGATCTGCAAAGACTCCTTCAAGAATGGCGTCGAGAAAACAATAACAAACATAACAGAGAATGGAGAGATGACGAAGAGGGAGACGCTTTAGCTAGCTACTACGACGCTACGGACAACGATCTGCTTTCACTGAGTACGACAGACTTAAACCGATTTTCAAAGTACTTGAAGTTACGTTTAAGTCAAAGCCAAGGCTCTTACAAACCTCAAGAGGTTTTCATTAACCAGTATCCATTTCGTGCTTCCAAAAATGCGCAACGAATTTCCCAGGGGATAAATTCTTTCTGGGGTATCTCTTCTGCAGCTTCTTCGCAACAGAAAAGTGTCTGCTGGGATGGGCAGGTGTTACACAATTATACTTTGGTCGGAGGTATCAACGCTGGCACGTTCACTGACAACGGAAAAGCAAGTAACATGGACATATGTATGCAGTTTTGTTGTAAGCGAGACACCTGTGACCTGGCATTTATGATTGAGGATGACTGCTATTCAGTGGCTTGTAACAGGAATGGCGCTTGTGAGCCAAGAAAAGCCAGACCCACCCATTATCTACCGCGAATAGCCATAAGGAAAAAACCCCAAGGTGGGTGAGATATTGCCTTTTGAGGAACTTTGTCACGTGCTTGGATACCACTCAGCAACGTCGACACTAGACGTTTGATACTTTTCTGATTGAATTTAGCGAATCTTATGTTCTTTTTTATTAGGGAATTCTAACGTTAATGTTCCCTCATCCACGGCACCTACATCATCGTCAACACTGACACCAACATTCTTTCTGTCATCATCTCCAACTCCTGCAACGTCTTCACCGACCATCACCCACTCCATTCCTGAAGGTCATCAAAGTAGGTTTTTCTATCTTTCTTAGTTTTAACTTGGGCGTAGTTCTAATTGCGTCGCTTATCGAACTTCTCTCCGTTTTCGACACTACTTTGTTTTGGCCGAGAATTCAGGTATTTAGTACTCTGTTTTGAACGTTGCTAAATAACTTGAGTAATAACGCAGGGAAGTCGCTTCTCCACTATTTTTTCCTGTTGAACGCATTTTTTTTATTTGTAATCATGTACTTGTATTTAAATACACGTTGGAACGAGCTTGACATTTAAGAAAAACCGAACTAGTAAACCAAATGTCGTAGACAAGGGCAAAAGTTAAAACTGATAATGAAAAGTTGTCTGTAGGCAAAATACCTCCGGGAGAGCTTGCTAGCAGGCTAAAATGAAAATAACCGTTCTTTGCAACCTTTTCTCTTCCTGCTGGCACGTGAAATGTTTATATCTGTGCCATGGGCAGTTCTGACTTGTTTTGCTTATGATCGAGAGGAAAAATGGTGCAGTTTCCGTTGACCAGTTTCTTGCAAAACATTAGCGCCAATCAAGACACTCATGCTTCCAATACCGATATCAGTATTTTCACGAAAATTTTGATTGTGCCATAAAGTTTTAATGCTTTCATGACTGGTGCGTCTCTTTATTTCAATCAGGTGATCCCTCTGTTAAAGTGGCCCACTCATGCGATTCTACACCCATCGAGTACAATGTGACGCTTAAGATGGGGCTTCACTCTGGAGAATTCCAAAAGATTGGTAAAGTGGAATCTATGGACGACTGTATAGAAATGAGCTGCAGGCAGCCCAACAGTGATGTGGCTTTCATGTTAGGCAGCATCTGTTTTGCGGTGCACTGTTACAGTGCCGATCTTTGCAAAACCGTTCCTATTTTCGGGTCAAGTATCTCTCGATTGAATTTGAATCCAGCCATTTCGTTCCTCAGGAAGAAATCTCGTTTTAGAACAAATTCTCTGGGTAAGTGATGTGTTTAATAACCAAGGGTTTATTTCTGGATGATGCAGACAATTCAGGGTAGGCTTTCTCTCTAAAATAAACCTTTTGTCAAATAATACTGTAGTTTATACACCTGCAACTAACTTTTTAATCGCTCGACTTCCTCATCTTTTTGGACGAACGATCCATACACATCAACTCTTTGACTCACAAAGGCTTTGGGGCTTTTAAAATCCCTACAGGGATTAATCTGTTCAGCATTTGTATAGGTAATAGCATGATTTGTAGTGATATTTGGCATAAGTACCACGAGTGATATTTCGAGATTGAATTCAGTATACGTAATTTCACGAGCCATTAGGCGAGTGAAATTTGAGACAATTTTGAAATATCACGAGTGTTATTTATGCCAAATATCATGTACAATTCATGCTATTATTTGTTTATACTACCCGCAAGAGGTTTGTAATTTTCACATGTAGGTATTTCAAAATAAGTTGAAATACCAATGCTCTAAGCCAAATCAAAATTGCAGAAATTTCTCATGTAGTAGTATAAACTGGGTTTGAGTTTATCAATCTATGATCTGTTATTATACCTAGCTGTACAGAATGATGAAATATATCAAGATAGATGCCGCGACAGCACAATAACATACAACGTAACACTACGTGGTGGCATTGACGCAGGTAAGCGCATACCCCCCGGGGGGAATACTCAGCAGTTTTATACTGGGGGAAGCTCCGCCCCGAGGTCCAACCCCTTCCCTTTTATATACCATTTTTGACAGTTCAATGTGTTGGTAACCGTTTCTCTGGTTGAGACCAGTACTAATCAGTCCACCTTAAAGGTGGATTTCTACTGTCTCGTTATTTTTACGTGTGTACGCACGTAAATTTTACTCTTGTAAATAAAATAGAGGCAATGTACGAAGTGTCGCGCGTAAATATTTTATTTACGCGCGTAAAATTTACGTGCGTACACACGTAGGAATTTCGCGACAGTGGAAATCCGGCGACTTTAGTGAGCTACGTCCAGTTATATCCTTTTGAGCACCACATGACCAGACCTACCAGCATCTTGTCCATGGCGGAAAATTAACCATGTAGTGGCGAACAGATGGTGTCTATCCGTCAAAACGTATAGGCCAGTTGTAGTTCCCTAAGCATCACGTTAAAGTCTGTATCTGTATCCAGAAATAATTTCTCTATGATATCGTTAATATTGTTTATAATAATATTTCAGGGAACTTCACAGAAAGGGCTGGAACACTGACAATGCGAGACTGTATTGGAAAATGCTGCGATGACAAATCGTGTGACTTAGCGTTCATGTTTGGTGACAGCTGTTACTCAGTGGAGTGCCGGAATGAGAAATTGTGCCAGGCTGTTTTAGCAAAGCCATCACGTCTCGAACCCAAGATTTCTTATATTACCAGAGGATATTTCGATGATAAGGACAAGGGTATGAACACCTAGTCTAATTTTAAATAAAGATATGATCGTCGCTGTGGCAACTGCAATATCAACAATTGCAAATTAACCCGAAAAAATTTCGGGACTTCGACTTGATTCGAACCCATGGCATTTGCGTTAGCGCTTCAGTGCTCAGAGTGGTGCTTGGAGTGAAAATTCTAGAAACTTGAGGGATAAGAATATTCTTTTCATATTTTAAAATCCATCTTTCACGGAATTGCTTTACTCACCTCTTTATCTTATTTACTAAAATTCTAATCCCTTTTAGGGACTATGTTCTCTGCAAGTGATCAAACACCGACCTGCCGAGCAGATCAAAAATCTCGCTCAGCAGTAATCAGTAACAAGACT